CACCATCGCAACGCAAGGCATTCTCGCCTCGCTTGGTTTATAAGAAAAGTATTCTTGGAAATCATTTGTGTTCGTTTCTTCTGCCGTTCGAGGTTGATAGGTGGAACATTTATTCAATCGGCCTAACGTTTCGACAAAATCGTCGTCTTCTGAGGCGGTTCAAGGTTGAAATTCACGATCTAACTCCACCAAGCGCCCCATCTCCTCTAGCGGTTCCGACTTTCCACCTGATGTCCCGCAGAGAAACATAAGCAAAACGAATCTTGAACTCAGCCAGGGTTCCACTATTTGTCAGAGGATCCCGCTTCTACACAGTCACAATCGTTTGGCTGTGCTGTAATAGAGCAACGATAATCCCCAAAGCCAGATGCGCGCTAAGCGGCTCTACCAACTCTGTTCAGAAAATGCAATAGAATAGGTTCCATTTAACCAGAAGCGGAAGCAGTAAACCAGCTCAATCGATGGTTCTCGGCGTGGGAATGTGGCACACTGGTTCAAAAGGGGCGCAAGTCATAAAACATGGAAGTTCAGAAGCTCCTAGCGTTAATCAGCCCTCACGGATCCGATTTGACCTAGACATTGACCTGCGGGGTCGAGTGATTGAAACTGAGTGTTTTTTCCTTCCAAAGTCTATCTCGAAGGGATAGAGGATTCGGTTGGCATGAATCACGCGATCTTGCGAATAGAGATTTCATTGGGCTGGATGGCGGACGCTCCAGGATTTGATCCCCAGTCCGTGCGAGTGTTCAGCAGCGCCACTTGTCGCTCAATCATTACCGCCCCTGCTGGCCAAATAGTATTGAAAATGGCTGGTTCAAGCATAGAAACCGAATCAAACATGTTTATACTCATATTTATTATTGAACGTGTGACAACAATTATTAATTCTTATTAATGAATATCATTTTTACTGCTAGTATATTATCTCTTAGCTGATAATTATGGGAAAGCAATAAATGACCTTTTATGATAAAACCCGAAGAACCCATCCGCATTTGGAAGAGTTGTGAGAAAAGGCGGACGATGTGCTCAAAACCGATCGGTGCTACTTCGGTCGGTTCCTTCACTATTCATTTTCCAACTGCGGACCGTTTTCGAGTATAGTTCACCCAAAAATTGAAATCATGGAATGGAGATTATTCATTGGTTCAGATACCCTTGTGTGGAATGTGTCGGACCGAATGGAACAACAGGAAAAACAATCAGTTTCTACGAAAAGTGCTATAAATGGGCTGCTCTATGAAGACTCCGTAGGCGGTCGGTTCCGTCGTGGGCGATCGAGTGGGGAGTTTCGTAGTGGTGTTGTTCAGGTGGAGCGTTCCGTAGATATTTCCATAGAGAGCATCGCTTGCCGTTGTAACTCGGGGCCGAATCATCCCATAGCCTTCGCACGCGTTCCAGTAGTACTCGGTCTTCATACGCAGATAGTATTTGGACAGTTTGAATAGAGCAAACACAGTGGGAACCGAGAAGAAGGCGAACATCAAGCAGCCAATCCACATGCCCTGAAACCATAAGTTTTATGAAGAATTCTTCAAAGAAATCATCTGATTAGGCTTCAATTGGCTTTTTCAAAATGCCATTCAACAATTCAGTACCGAATTGACATTTTACTCTTATTTTCAGCATTCTCAGTTGTAGTGTAATATCCGCACCAACGGAACATCTGCAGTAAGTCAGAAAACCCTCACTATGTAAAATTGGCTAGACGAGGCTTATTTGTCAATATAAGCTGCGTTCTGCTGGTGCGGTACAATGCAGAAGTGTTCCGCCCAGACGGCTGTTCAAATTACGCATTTTACGAATCACGTTAGAGCTGATGCTCTTCTGTGGAAACTCAAATGCTTTGCTTGTGCTAATTCTTTGGGGACATTGTAATAGTTCTGGCATGAGTAGGACTTCCGCGTTGCTACAGCGCGGCCTTCAACGTACATACTGAGCTCAACAAGCGGGTCGTATTTGAGATTTTTGGAGAAGATTGTATTCGAGAATTTAGGAGAGGGATTCGTGCTTGGCTTTGTAGAGAGAGCGTGGCAGGTTTTCAGAAAGGTAGTTTGGAATTAAGAGTTTTGCAGTTTCGAGAGGATTGGCTACATATTGGCTTGGATGAGTGGAGTCCTGAGAGAGGCATTTGCTGCGAAAGAAAAGAAGCCAAATCGATAATGCCCGCTAAAGATGGCAGAAGCCCCAGACCTGAAATCCGTCCCGTTCCGAAGTAGGGTTTTGTGATATCGCTATATTAAAAGGATGAAGCATTTGCCATTGATCAATTCCTTTTTGGGATGCGGCACGCGTGGCTTTTGAATGCGTGTGGCCTGTACAAAAGGACAACCTTTACATGGCACAAGCTCTGTACTGTGAGGCTTAAATAACTGCGGAGATTTTGAGGTGGTTCTTGTTGGCTCACTGATGTCTGGAACTTTGTCTTATCAGTTCTCTAACCCCACCAGCAACTTATGGACAAGGACCGTTAAGCCAAGACCCATACAAAATCGCCGCACCATTTGCCGCGCGCGACGCTGCCCGCGTGGCGCGTGACCTCATTAGCCGACGATTGAATTGACCGTCTCCCCCTATACAATGACTTGCGGGGGCCAGCCGATGTACAAGTCAGTGTTTTTTATCCTCCCAGACAAGTCTGGTACCAATTAACCGACCCCGGAGGGATGGAAGGCTTGGTTGGCCCGGGCGACTCACGACCCAGGATTTGATCCCGGACCGCTCGCGTGGTGAGCGCGCCACTTGTCACTACACCACTTCCGCCCAATATACTTATTTATCGGTCCGATATTCATTTGGAATCGCCATGCCATTCAAACAGTACGTATGCCGCAAGCTCCATCCAGTCAACGGCAAGGCAATTTTTGGGTTTTCGGCTATTTCGCTGATATTCTCAACTCACATGCAATCAATTTCTGCTGATTTCTATCACATTGCAACATCAGTTGGTACCTTTGGTTCCACGTCTGATCAACATCAAAATTTTGTTGACAATGTCACTGTATACAGACGGTACGGTATATTAAAGGTCTAAAAGGGAAAATTACCTACTATAAAATAGGCAAGTCCTCTAACCAAGGAACGGGACGCGGAGGGTGTGTCCGTAGCAGCCCATAAAGCCTTCCTCGTTGAGGTGAAGTTTTCTTTGCGGCTGCCTACGCCTGACGCTTGGCTTACCCAGTTGCTAGTCCCCCTCCGTCGAGCTTCAGCCGTTTTACCGAAGAGCAAGTGGTAAGTTTACATGAGAACGTGCAGGCTCAAGGCTCGCCCATCTCGAGAATCAACGGGTATAACAAGAACAAAAAAGGAATGCGGACCATTTTGGCATCTTGCTATGCCTTTGCTGTTGCATCTAACCGCTTAATTTTATTTTTAGTGGGCAATGAATTTTCGATCAATCAGCGTTGATATGATTGTTCGAAAATTCGATGGCCGGAGATGTAGGGACTGATTGACATACCAATGAAGAAAAAGGGAAAGAAACTGCTGAACAGTCTCAAAATAACCCCTTTCTATCCGAAAACTGTAAAACGAGCGATTTAAGACACTGAACGTCAAAAGCGAGAGGACGACACACGAAGACGAGGGGTTCATGGCCGCATGTTTCGGGCTCCAGCCCCCTTTCCATCTGTTTGGAGTAGCAAAACTGCCTTATCTCTGCGGCTGAATTCTCATCTAGGAACTCAAAATGGAAACTGGTGGTCGTTTTGAGTGTAAGGGCATGTTTGAAAGTTGGAAAGTGGAACAGACCTCGATAGCATCCAGGTTACGCTGACATCTTTGTGCTGAAGTTTTCAACGATCCACTGTGCAACCAAGTTAGGTTATCTAAGGGCGTAGCTCGATATTGGCCCTGAACGAATACAGTACATTACCATGATAAGGAAGAAGCAACTCGGTAAGTGCTCCGTAAGTTTCATACACGGATTCGTATTCAACTAGGTAAAAAGGACTATGGTCAAAATTTTGCTATCCCTTTTGTCATTGTACACATTCACCTCTCTGGTTGCTTTTTGTAGAGAATCGACGGTAAGGGGAATTGAAGGCAAGGGAAACCGAAGCCAGGAACGTACCAGCAACTGCACTGCGGGACACATTGAATAGTAGACGTGAATATAAACGAGAATCACGTCCAGATAGATGTAGAGACATGGAGTGAAGAAGAGCAGGATTGTTGCCAGCACTACGCAAAGTTGTCCGACCTGGAAAATTGTGGACGAAATTTCGCAAGGGAAACACTCATGTGGGTCCAAATGAACGCACCCATTCTGAGAATGTCGACCTGTCCATGGGATGGTAGCTGCGTAAATAGCACACTGATCCTGAAGACATTTCGATTCAGATTTCTGAAGAAGGATTTGGGCTCCCAAAACAAAAGACGTTTTCAACTAGCTGTCGATTATGGTCCGAAAATAGGCTGACTCCCTTTGGAATTTTTTTCTTCATTCGGGACAGCTTCCTAATAAGGATATACCTGCAGTTACAAGCACCGGTATTGGCGCGACGAGCAGTACCATCACAATCGCGATCAAAACCATCGAAATGCGAACGGGCCAGGAAGAGTCTGGCGAGTAGACAGATTGAAGTTCCACTGCTTTCTGAAATATTCTCTGTAGGCTCATGGTCTTTTTTCGACTCCTCCCCCCCCCACCCACATTCTATACGTTCTTATCCATCTTATTTTCTTGTAATGCTGAATAATAGGATAAGTAAGGTGTTGTTTTTTGAAAAAGCAGGGCTACTTTCCGCCTGGTCCTTCACATATGTATTTGTAACACTAAGGAAGTTTTCACCTCTTGAATGTGAACTATCGAATGATGGCCTAATTTGGGCATGTTTTTGATTGAACTGTCAGAGTTACCATGAGTTCATTTCGTCGTAAAGGCTAAGGCTTTCTTCCTAGAATTCTTCTACATGACGATAGTGGAGCTTTTTCTAACACTCGCTGAAAAGACCCTTATTGATCTCCATCCACTTGTCTATTGCAGAGTTCCTGATTTGATGAAAATGCAGAAAGGTAATCGAAGGTCCAATGTCAAAGCGTGGTCATCGGATATTTACACTACCCGCCGCCATATACGCAAATTGCCTCAGAGTCGGATTTTATGATGAGAAGGCAGCGCAAGCATTCAAGAATTAGGTTAGAGATGACATAAGCAAACCAGCCCTTTTGGCGCTTCGGCTGGGACCGTATGCTGAATGTTGGGGAGGGGATGGAGTCCCCGACGGTGGACGAACCACTTCAACTCGGTCCTTAGAACCGCCACAATTTGGTGCCCACCTCAGAACCTCCAAAAGAGAGGACGGGTCCGTTCCCTCTCCAAGGCTTAGTCCTGGGGTGAGCAAACCAGCCCTTTCTGGCGGAGCTGCTGGACCAGCTGCACCACTTGCGTCAGTACTCTCCTATCGTACCAACCGAGTTGAAGTAAACCGTCGACCGTTGGGGACCCCATTCCCTCCCCAACATTCAGCATACGGTCCCAGCCGAAACGCCAAAAGGGCTGGTTTGCTTTACCTCGGTTAGAGATTGGCCTTTGCTGCCCGAAAGAAGAAAACACCATAAAAAAAGGGAGCCCTTTTGCCCGATTGATGACTCTCATCAATGCTGCCCTCTTCAACGCTAACATTCTTTCTGCTGAACGACTAGAAGTCTGCGATGAGCTAGTTGGTGGCCCTTCCGCGCCACTAGGGCCGCGGGGAAGACCATACTAGATCACCGGGGGCATATTCTCCATGCGAATTGCGAATCGGTCCACATCATCATCCTTCCAACCTTGTCACAGTGAATTCCCCTTATTCGACCTTCTTGCTTATCGTGGAATCGTACCTCGAAAGAGAATGAAGTGTCCAGCCTAGATTTAGTTTCTGGGGGGTGTCATACATCTAATGCAGAGGCACTTGGATATGCACACACACTTGCCCTTCCGTGCTCGAATTTTGTCGGAGTGAGCCATCCTTTAACAAATTGCGTACCGTGTCGGACGATTCCAAGCGAGAGATCATAGTTTTATCCGATTTATTTGGCATTTTTTTTCAAGCTCAAGAAAAGTTTGTACTCATTTTTAGAGCCAGGAAACAATAAGTATGATCACTGATAAAAGTGTTGATAAACTAATGGTGATTCAATTTCTGAAAACATAAAAAAGCTCCTTGTATAACGACGGTCCGCAATGTGTTAATTAT